TCTGAACTGGAGCCAGGAAAAAACCAGAGCTCCCCCAAAGGTACCACAGCCATCCTCAGCAAGTGAGGTCCCGAGCTCCTCCAGTGATGAGAAAAGCTGAGTTCCCATCAGGAGAGCCACTGTGACAAGCTTCTCCAGGAGGCTGAGCAGTGCACTACCTGGTGCTTGATACATTGTGTCAACTTGAGGTGTTGGAAGCCGGCTAGATGGGGAGCTGGAAGGGAGAGAGGCTTGATAGACCCTGCAGCTGCTGCTGCTCCTCTGCTCTTGGTTGTTTTCAGCCGCCGCCGCTGCTGCTGCTGCTGCTGCTCCTCTGCTCTTGGTTGTTTTCAGCCACTGTAAACTGCTGCCATCTGCCTTGGAGCCAGCAGAGTATGGACTAAAACCTCCACTAACTGTGAGCTAAATAAACCTTTCCTTTGCTCATTTTGTTTTTTTTTTTTTTTTTTTTGGTGGAACCAGGGATTGAACTCAGGCCCTTGCGCTTGCCAGGGAAGTGCTTATTCCACTGAGCCATCTCCCCGGCCCCACCCTTCCTTCATTTTGGGTGTTGGGTATTTTGTCTCAGAAACAAGTAAAAAGTAATTGAGACAGTCATCTTTCCCTCCAAAGTCAGGAAGCGATGCTCAAGATGAGGACCAGAGCGCCCCAAGATGAACCGGAGCCATTCCAGCAACAACAGGTCCCAAGTTCTTCCTCCAAGAACAGCCAGGTTCATCAGGAAAGCCAGCATGGCAAGGTCCTCCAGCAGAACAGCCCAAGAGAACCAGCAGCTCCCAACAGTTTCCCTAAGAGCATCTCACCAGCTTCTCCAGTTCTGCCTCCTGCTGGCAACAGTGCTCAGCTGGGCCACCCATACCCAGCAAACGCGCTAAATTCAGAGGGGTGAACACTGACCACCAGTTAGCAATCCACTACATCTAGGAATAGACCTGCCTGTGAATTTCCAGGAAATAATCATATTCAAGATAGAACATACAAAGGCACAGAGATGTTCACTGATTTGCTCAAGGGTTTTGGCTGTGATTTGAACCCAAAGCTGGCACTCTTTTCCCATCTCTCTTAAATCACAAGCCTCGAAGCCATGTAAAGACTGTACAAAGTAAGTTCCATAAACATCAGTGTATTAATAACACTTACATTCCAGGGCCCACATGGATGCCTTTGCTATACACTTTCCCGAGTTGAACTGCCACGCCTTCTCCCATAGAAAGTCCCACTTTGTTTGAGCCAGGTTTATCGTTCATCCACTAAAGATCTTTTGTAATAGCTAGAGGAGTTCAGAACTTGGCCTGTGCTTCTATGTTATCAATGATGATGCTTTGTGTTTTATCAGTGGTGGCATGGAAGGAGGAGAAATCCCCACACACTCAGCACGCCCACGAAAGTCCTCCGTCTGTGTTCAGTGAGCGCCTCTTCTGTGGTCTCTGCCAGTACCAGGCACATGGGGTCAACAGCACACGGGGCTCTCACACTGGTGAAGATCCTGACAACGGGACGTGGCACTCAACAGACCAGTGGCTAAATACAAACTGTGATATGTCCTGACAGAAGGTGCCCATTACAGAGACAAGCATGGGGGTAGGTCACAGAGACACTGAGAAAGTGACACCTTGAAGAGCATGAAAGAATTTGCCAAGGACAGAGTGAACAAAAAACATTCTAGTTGTGGGGATGCAGAAAACAAAAGCCACCATGTAGGGCTCTGCCATGGTTTGTGATCTTCTCCTGACCCTCCTTGCTCATTTTCCTCTGCCGCAGAGTAGAAACCAGAATTCCTCTTCCCTAAAGTCAATCCTAGAAACCAAAACACGTTTTCCCCAAAGCCAGCCATAAAAACTAGAATTGTTAACTTTCCTCTACCTTTCTGTGTAAGAGTTTGACATTAAAATCCATGTGGGGGCAACCCAGGTGTTTGGGAGGCTGAAGCATGAGAATCAAGGCCAGTCTGCATGACTTAGGGAAACCCTGTCTTAGAATAAAAAATAAAAAAGGACTGAAGGTGCAGCTCAGAGCACTCGCCTAGTATGCAAGGAAGGCAGGCAGGCAAGTGCAAGAACTGCTACCGCTGAGGAGCCACGTGCTCTGAACAGACCATAGCCATTAGCTCGCTCTTTCTGCCCAATCACATTTCTACCTACTGCTTCTCCTTCACTGAACCTAAGTATAAAAATGAAGAGTTCATCCTGGTTCTTTGGAATCTTTTACCTGAAGGCTCCAGGCCACATAAAACTACTCAGATAGGTCAGCTGTGCATTGTTCTTATTGACATGCCTACTGTGATAAAAATATCGGCCAGGACCTTTTATGATGAGCAAATTGGCAGCAAACCATGGCGTCATGCACTTGGTGTAAGCTTTATGGGTATGCAGCATGCAAGGGTCCTGGGTCTCGGAGGGCTCCCACCCAGATTTCAAAAGAAGGCCTGGATCGCACAGAGACCATCAAAAGGAATCGAAAACTGGGATTTCATCGTGTTAAAAAACTTTTGCACAGGGGCTGGTGAGATGGCTCAGTGGTCTAAAGCGCCTACTTAGAACAAGCTTAGCAAAGCACAGGGACCACAGTTCAATCCCCCAGCACCACATGCCAGCCAGCCCCGCCCCCTGGTGGGCTGAGCTGGCCACACACACACACACACAAATAAATAAATTTTAAAAAAAAGAAAAAAGAAAACAAGAACTATTTTTAAAAAAAGAAAAACTTTTGCACAGAAAAAGAAGTCTCCAACAAAATGAAGAGAACCCAGAGTGGGAAACTTTTTTTTGCCATCTGTTTTCATAAAAAGGACTAATATCTAGAATATATAAAGAAAAGAAAAAAACCCTCCAAAATCAAAGACCTAGTCCAAAAATGGGCACCTAAGATGAACAGATGCCTGTCAGTAGTACAAATGACAAATAGATACATGAAAAAATGCTCAACATCACTAGTCATTCCAGAAATGCAGATTAAAACAACACTGAAGCTGTCTCACCCCAGAGAAAGAGCTATCCTCAAAAAGTCAACTAACAACAAATGCTGGAGGGGCTATGTGTGTGGGGGTGACCCTTCTCCACTGTTGGTGGGAGTGTAAGTTGGTGTAACAACTGTGGAAATTAGAATAGAGATTCCTCAAAAACCTAGGATTAGAGGTCCCATTCAATCCCATTCCCCTCTGGGTACCTTCCCACAAAAACTAAAAGCATCATACCACAGAGGTACATGGGAACACATGTTTATAGTAGCATAGGATGTAACAGCAAGATCTTGGAAGTATCCCAAATGCCAGCAACCAATGAGCAGATAAAAAAGTTCTCTTAAAAAAAAAACGGGATGGGGAAATGGCTCAGGGGAATAAGCACTTCCCTGGCAAGCGCAAGGACCTCAGTTCAATCCCTGGTTCTGCCAAAAACAAAACAGAACAAAACAAAAACCATAATGGGGTATATTAGCCATAAAGAAGAGTAAAATCAAGACATTTAAAGAGAAATGGATGGGCCTGGAGACCATAATCACAAGGGAAATCAGACGCACGTGCTAGTGCTGTATTTATACATGTTTCTCACACCAGAAGGAAACTGAAATTGTAAATAACCAAAATGTACACTAGATACTGTTTTTTGGTTTTTTTGGCAGAACCAGGGATTAAACTCAGGCCCTTGTGCTTGCCAGGGAAGCGCTTATTCCACTGAGCCATCTCCCTGGCCCCTTAAATATTGAGAAACAGGAAGAAACTGTTTAAAAAGAAAAGGAACTAGGGCTGGTGAGAGAAAACGAAGGCAAAGAAAATAATCAGAAGCAAAACATAACATGAAAAGTTTTGTGAATAGGGAGGGGAAAGGAATAGAGGATTTTGAAAGGAGTGGACAGGAATAGAGGGGAAAAAAGAGTAACCAAGACATAACATTCCATATGATGATGTGATCACTGTTATGTATACCTAAATCACATCCATGTTAAATAAAACTTTTTTTAAAAGCCTGGAAGGCCAAGCAATGTACCCCTGAGAGTGTGAAGTAAAAAAGTACTCTGGAGACTCCAGGAAGTTGGAGAAGTCAGGAACATCTGAGAAATGCTACTGGCAGTGAGCAGAAGCAGGCCAAGAAGGAGACCATGTGGGCTATAACCACCAACACCACAGGCAGGGGCTACCCAAGCCCTGGGGACTCTCATCCTGCCACCATTTTCCTGGCTGCTTGATGTGCGCTGCAGGATTTCATGTTTGCCATGCTGCGTTCCAGCTTCATTTTGGTTCCGCTCCCTTCTATTCTGCTACTTCTTCCCTCTGGAAGGGGAATGTCTATCGCGTGCCAATCTACATGGGCTGTGCTCACTTTCCGAGTCTGACAGGTGCTCACAGCTAGGAGAGTTTGCCTTGAGTCTCAGAGAAGACTTTGAACTTCAGACTTTGCAGGTAGAGTTATTAAAACTTTGGGGACTCTTAAGAGATGGGCTAAGCATACTGTGCATAAGGAGATATGCAAGGGGCCAAGGATGGAGCTCACTCTTTCTCTGGGGTGAGACAGAATGTAGAGAGCGTTCCTGTGATGTACAAGGTCCTGGGTTCAATCCTCAGCATGACAGAAGCACACAAAGCGATGTGCAGTTCTCCGCGGGCCAGATGGAATGTTGTGAACCCAGAACATTCCCCGAGGCTCACGAGTGGGGCTTGGAACTCACTGGCCTGGTCAGGTACTGGAGCCATGTGCTGCTGGGCGAAACAGCTGCCTCTGCTGCTGCAGAGTGGCGCCTGAAGGGAGGATGTGCTGGGCGGCCACGTTCCTGGCCAGTCCCTGCTTCCCGCTCTCTGCCTTCTGGCTCCCAAGGTCCTCCCACCGTGCCAAGTCTGTACTTAGCCTCCTGAGCATGGGCTGAAACCATGCAAGGCCTCAGCTGAAATCGACCTCTCCTCCTTGAAGTGCAGGCGCCAGGTATTTTATCCCAGGGATAAGGAAAGTGACTAAGACATATCTATTTATATAAATATATTTGTATAAAATAAAAATTTACAAATTATAAATAAATAAAAGTTTTTAAGCAAACAAGTCACTATAAAAGTTAAAATTGTAATACACATCATCCATTAATTCTAGTTTTAAAAAAGTTCTTTTTCATGAAAGAAATGTACGCACTGTACCCTTGATTGTACTCCTACAAATGGGGCACTTTCTCAAAGAGGGGGCACAGTCTCTGCACACCACCAGATGGCCACAGGGAATGAACACCACGGACACCTCCTTGTCCATGCACACTTTACAGGTCCTCTCTTCCTGGAGTCTCCTCAGCTGCTCTTCCATCGGTAAAGCTAGGAAAAGAATCGGGTCATTACTTTAGCGGCACATGAGTGCAGCGCGTGACGTCGGCATCCTTCATGTGGAGTCGGTATGCCCACACAACACGTCCTGCTTCCTAACTCCCTTTCTGCCATCCTGTAGGCCTGTCCTCCCTCCCCTGTGAGAACACTCTCCCAGTTCCTGTAGTCCATCTTTTATCTTGCTCTTTATTTTTACTCTGCCTTTCTCATATAAGAGCAACCATGTGTTATTTAAGCAGTGTGTCTGATTTATTTCATTAAACATCATGGTTTTAAGGTGCATTCATCTCCTATAAATGACTAAAGTTTATCTTTATGGCAGAGTAGTGCTCCATGGTGTATAAACACCATGTGAAAAAAAAGACTTTTTAGTAAAAAGCAATGCTCTTTTTCTTAATGAAATTCAAAGAAAATAAAAATAATACCTTCTACTGGTATAAACTGTTAATACTATTACCTGAAATATCTTCTGTTACAATATACTTTATGTCTTGTTGTACTAAAAGAAAAAAACAAGAAGTATTACTGTGAGGAATAAGGTTACTATTTGGCCACAAACTGCATGTTTTAAACAAAATTATATTGGGAACCAGACAAACTGTAAATAAAATTTTTTGAAATAAAAAACTTCAGAAAAACTCAATTAATATGAAAGTTAAAATTATGATACAGCTACCCCATTAATTCTAAATGGATTCTAAGTGCCTAATATCCCAGCACCATGGGAGTCTGAGGCATGAAGATCACCATTCAAGCCCAGTTTGGTCAGCCATACAAAGGAAGGAGACTCTGCCTCAAAATTAAAAATAAAATGGGCGGGCCGGGGAGATGGCTCAGTAGGATAAGCGCTTGACTGGCGAACACAAGGATCTGAGTTCAATCCCCAGTTCCGCCTAAAAAAAAAAAAAAAAAAAAAAAAAAAGGTTTATATCTTTAAAAAATAAAATGGGCTGGGAATGTGGCTCTGTGTGAAGAATCTGGGGTTGAACCCCTAGAGACACAGACAGACAGACAGACACACACACACAGCCAAAACCTCACAATTTTAAGGCAACAGAAGCCTTTAACTTACTTATGAATTAGATCAAGTTATTTTCTATGATCACTAATTATTTATGAGTATATGTTCAACTGTCCTAGAAAGATCTCAAAATAATTCTCTTGTACTCACCAAATAAATGCTTGTATAACTTTGGGTCCATTTCTTGTAGAGAGTTTTTGAATACCGTGGCAGCAACATTTCCTTTTACTAAAATAGTATCAATGAGTTCCCTTGCCTGTAAAGAGGCCTGCGTTTTCTGCTTGATAACATCATGTTCCTGTTCACTAATGACTCCTGCATCTAGTAGGCTGTTTAGTACTGGAATTACAGAAGTCAAATGTTGAAAAAGTGCCATTCTATTCTTCCGGATTAATGATAGATCTTCTGTATAAAAAAAAAAGAAAGAACTAAATACAAACATGTTCAACGTGCTCACAAACCTCTTCCACACCTCCATATACACACGAATGAAAACCACCTTACCCCACAATCAGGCACTGATCCTGGCTGTTTGGCTTGGGATTACCTACTTCTCTGTGCCTTGTCATAATGCCAAGTAGGAGGATGGATACTCCTGAACACTTGTGTTACACATTTTACATACATGTTACCTTCACAGAAGCCTGAAGGAGGTACTAACTCCCTCACTGAACAGATGAGGAAAGAAAGCTACAGTGAGACAGGTAAGCTGCCAAAGGACACCACACTGACAGAACGTAGTCTGAGGCAGGCAGGTCCGTGACCTCTGCTGCAGCTGTCTGTAGTGCCTTCCACTGACCCAAGAACCAAATGAAAGCTAAGGTCAAACAAAATTGAAATCTTAATTCAAGCTAATCACTGTGGGAAAAGGTAAAATCAGGAGAATTAAAATATTAAAATATCAATATTAAAATATTCTGTAAATTCTTTTTTTGGGGGGAGGGGCAGAACTGGGAATTGAATTCAGGCCCTTGCGTTTGCCAGGCAAGCACTTATTCTACTGAGCCATCTCCCTGGCCCTGTAAATTCTATTTTAAGTTGAAATGTTAATTATTTCCCTAGATCAGACATATTACAACTACCTAAATAATTTACAGCACAAACAGGCACTACCACATTTTAAACAGTATACCTTATTTGTCAATGACTACCTTCTTGTCGTACTGGATTTTTCTTATTGCTCTTTAAGATCTAGATTTGTATTCAGTGGCAAAAAAAAAAAAAAAAAATATATATATATATATATATACATATATATACATATATATACATACATATATATATATATATATATATATATATATATACTTTGAAACTATGATTTTATTACCTACGTTTATTAATTGCCATTAGCTTGCCAGGGGCCATTAAGCTGTTTCTACAATTTAGCTTTGACTTTTTATTTTCTACCACATTATTTCTGTAACGCAAGAACAAAAGCAGGACTTGCTGAAGACCTACTTCAGGGGAGGGGACGGGTAGGTGACAGATATGCTGACTTCAAGGAATTGGTGCCTGGCACAAGGCCAGAGACGCCCATTCTGAAGGTAACTGCAGCTCTGAGAATAAACGAGGAAAGGACCAGGACCAGAAGAGTGCCTGGCCAAAATGAAGGCTCTATAAATAACTGTTGGGAAGAAAGCTAGGCCTCAGTAATTTAAAGAATAGGAATAAAAAAGTTATATCCACAGGCTTGGTACATTCGAACAATATATCCTGTCAAATCATCCACAGTGGAGAATAACACATTAAAAAATAAAAACTATAATTTGTACTTGGTGTTGAAATATGTTATCTTGGTTGTTGGCGGAACTGCTTGGTGAGTCTGGCCTCACTCGGAGCTGCCGGCAGTCTCAGCAGAAAAAAATGGAAGACCTGCCTGATGTTGCTTCTTTTTCGACTAAACTTAAAAACACCTTGATAGTGTACCATAACATTGAAGATGATAAGTGGCAAGTTGCAAAGAAAACGAAAGATGTAGCAGTTTGGAGAAAAGCCTCAGAAGAATTTAATGGATATCTCTACAAAGCCCAAGGTGTTGTAGATGATGTAGTCAATACCATAATAGACCATATACGCCCAGGGCCTTTCCGCTTGGATTGGGACCGCCTCATGACTTCATTGGATATTGTGAAGCACTTTGAAGAGAATTGCTGTGTGAGGCGTTACACTACTGCCGGTCAGCTTTGGGATATAATTTCCCCAAGGGAGTTCGTTGATTTCTCCTACACCGTGGGCTATCAAGAAGGACTTTTATCCTGTGGAATAAGTCTTGACTGGAGTGAAGAGGCCAGAGTTTGTTCGTGGATTTAATCATCCCTGTGGCTGGTTTTGTGTTCCACTTAAAGACAATCCACATCAGAGTCTCTTGACAGGGTATATTCAGACAGATCTGCGTGGAATGATCCCTCAGTCTGCAGTAGATACAGCCATGGCAAGCACCTTAACCAACTTCTATGTTGACTTACGGAAAGCCTCACAAAAAGCATGATATGTTCAGACTTGCACTGTGCTCCTGGAACCAGCTCTTTCCTTTAGCTTATGGCCTGTGAAACTCAACAATTCTGTTTCTGTATATCCTGTGGGAACATTTGACATGTTTTTGGCTTAGTAGTATAATATTTTATGTTGTTCCTAAAGTACCGAGTTATTTAAAGAGAATGCATAGCTATTTGAAGCTCATAGCTATTTGAGAAGATTTTAGTTCTCTTAAACTTTTGTTTGGTGTTTCTCTTAAATCTTTGTTTGGTGTGGCAGTTTGTTTACAAATGGAGAACATGATCAAAATCCACAAAGAAATAGATAGTAGTTCTTTGGCTCTGAGTCAAGAAATTGAATAGTGTCTCATGAGTATTTTGGCTTTTTGGAAATTAAAGAAAACACAAGCATCATTCTCTTTTAGAGCTTCTTGAACATTTCATAAAATTTTTAATGTTTTTTGAAGGTACAAGCTAGTGCTTTACTTTTAATTTGTTCTATGAGTTTGTCAGTATCTTGGGCAAAAGGAAAGAGCCCCTTTTCTATATTTTGTAAAGGTAACATTTTTGTCAATTGACTTGCACTATTTTAGGTATTAATATGATAGATGTTAGTAACGCTATAATTTTAAATGCAATTTAGTATTGACATCTAGATACCATTCTCTTGTAACATATTAAAAATACATTAATTCGTTATTTATTGCATTGATTTTGGGAGTCATGAAATATGTTATCTTTTCAGTCTAAGATGCATTTGTCCAATTATGTTTTGTTCAACCTATAACTTGTGTTTTGGTGCTGAGGATCAAACTCCTTGCCTTAGCATGCCAGGCGTGCACCCGACCTGGGAGCGGCTGCAGCCCTGAAATTCATATGATTTGCCTACTACTAGCTGGGCAAGTCTCATTTTGAAGTCATACAATGTATTGTAGCTTAGAAGTTATGAAGAGTTGAATATACTTTTGCAGCGTATTACTATTTTATTCTGGAAAAATTTTGCCCCTTTTTAACTGTCAAGAAATTAACCACTCTTTGTTCTTAGGAAACTGTAAGGTAATCATTCACCTAAATCATTCACTCATCAAACAGTACTTCCTAAGCACGCACTAAGTACAGAAAGTACGCCAGCTAGAGGAGACAGGGTGAGGCAGAGGCACTTGGAGCTCTCTCACACGGCAAGTCACAGTATGGTGTATTATTACTTGGAGTCATCTCTGGAGACTTGATTGATTTCCAATGAAAGAAATACAAATGTTTGTACTGATGAATGGTTTTAGACTTAAAGGGTCTATCATGACCTGGCAGTGAGTGCTTTCTTTAAGCAGCTGTTGGCTGACAACCACAGGCTAAGACTGAGCAGACCACAGGGAGAATGCACTCATCCAGTCTTCACAGTGAAAAGGAAAGCCTTTTCCTTTTCAGGCTAAGTGACGATTAACTTGAATTACGTGGCTGCTGTAGTACAGGCATATAAACTGAGTCATTTACATCTAGCAAGTGTATGATGCTACACTGCTATATTTTAGCATGTGTATGCTACACTGCTATGTTCTGGTAAGCTTCTCTCCATGGGCCGGAGAGGTTTATCCTTGAATGGAGTGGACACAATCTGACTCTCAATTATCCTGATGGCCTTAGACAAAGATAAGAGCAAACTTTTTGCTCTTTCCTGAGTTTTGATACAGGCAATGTGGACTGTCATTTGTATAGATTGGTCAGAGATACACACAGATAAATCAAAAAGCCATGCAGACAAAGTCAGGTGGATGGGCTAAGGGCAGCAAGAAAAGTCAATACTGACAGAGTTGTAAACTGTCACATGTGACACAGCTCTTCTGCCCCCCCCAACACCTTCTGGGAAGAGGAAGACCCTGTGAAGAGGCAGTCTGTTTTGAGCTGTGCTGAAGGCACTGTTGGCATGGCCTGTGTTTGGGCAAGTGTGGCAGCGAGAGATCAGCATTTCTCTTTGTCTAGGCCAGAGCCATCCCAGCACTCAGAGCACCCCATGGGACCGGGCTGGCAAGAGCTAAGGTGCAAGGTCACGGCCAACTTATCCTGAAACATCGTGACACAGAATGCCAGGACGTCCCTGAACAAACCCTCAGAAGGAATTCAGTCTGGTGTGGGCAGGGAGAGGAATTCATCGTACTTGGTGCACTGATTTATAATGCAAAACCCAATATTATTATGTTAATTTTAAAATTAATAACTGCCCCAACCTCATTTTAATTTACAACAAAAGGGGTGAGGAACTAGCCCAGGATCAAAACTGAGCCTTAAGTAACTGCGCACAAAGTCACTGCCCAGAGTAAATGTACGAATAGAAGAACAGAAGGAAGCATCATTGTCTCTCAGTACACACTCTTTCACTGTGATAACCAACTCCAATGCATTTGAGCGTAAAGCAATCTCAGAATCTGGCTCACTGCTGTGCATGTGTCCAGCAACCGACACAGCGCTGGCACAGCCGCGCAGAAGGGAAACCACAGCCATCATATCCATACCTGATTCCTTTTCCTCGGCTGCTCTTTCTTTTGCCTCTTCCCTCATTTCATCTTCTGCATTAAGTAAATCTAGCACAAGATCACTGATGGTTTTGTAATTGTCTCCAGCGGTCAGGATTTTACTCTGAACCGTCTGCTTTACCAGGTGTCTACTAAAGCCCATTTCCAGAGCGGCTTTTACAACAGGCGTATTCATCATGACGGCATCTTCCGGCTGGTTCTCTCCAGGCCCAAAATGAACAACTACATGGAACATAGGACCTGACACGTTAGGATAGTCTGTGCATTTTTTAAGTGGAAAGTTCCTACAATACTGAAAACATAGAACATGGACATATACTATTTTACACAATTTTTTGTTCAATTCAAAATGATATATATGTGATATCGCTAGAATAAAAGTGTGAAATACTGTTTTTAAATTAAAATCTGAATTATCTGCCCTACTTGGATATGCATTTGAGAGGAGAAGGAAACACAGCATCAGGGGTTATCTCCTATTAGACCTGAGACTCATCATCCCCTACACTGAGTGAACCAATGAACTTTCCAAAACAGGTATGTGTTTTCAGGTATTCCTCAGAGGGCCTCGCCAGTTCTCGCCTCTACTACTGCAGTGGCTCCCACAATGCTGCTTCCTCCCAGCAATTCTCAGCAATGCATTTAGGGGATCGGTGTGGGCAGGGACAGGACTTAATTGTGCTTGGTGTACTGAGTTCTAATGAAAGACTGAGATTATTATGCTAATTTTAGAATTAATCACTGCCCTGACCTCATTTTAATTTATAACAAAAGGGGTGAGGAACTAGCCCAGGATCAGAACTGAGCTTTTAAAACCTGACTTGTCCCACAGTTCTGAAAGCACGTGAGATTCCTTGTGCTAGGGTATGGTCCAAATATTGTTTGATCATTTGTGACACTGGGGACTGAATCCAGGCCTGCAGACACATTAAGCAAATACTCTACCAGTAGGCTACATACCTTGCCCTTTTTCATTCTTTTCTTTTTGAGACTAAGTCTTGCTTTGTGGTTCAGGCTGACCTTGAACTTACTCTGTGACTAGCCTCAGACTAGCCTCAAACTCCCAGTGATCCTCCTGTCATAGCCTCTCTAGTACTGGGATTACGGGTGTGCACCACTATGCCTGATACCCTTTTCATTTTATTTCTGAGACAGGTTCTCACTAAAATTTCCAGGCTATCCTCAGGCCTCAGGTGTCTGAGCAGCTGGGATACAGGTGTGCACCATCATGCCCAGCTATCACAAACAACTTTACTACAGCTTATAAATGCTATCTGGGCCCTGTACACCTATTCAGCCTCATGCTTTGTTTTTTTTTTTTTAAATTTTATTTATTTGTGTGTGTGTGTGTGTGCATGTGTGTGTGTGGCCAGCTCAGCCCACCAGGGGGCAGGGCTGGCTGGCATGTGGTGCTGGGGGATTGAACCGCGGTCCCTCTGCTTTGCTAAGCTTGTTCTAAGTAGGTGCTTTAGACCACTGAGCCATCTCACCAGCCCAGCCTCATGTTTTTTGTTTTTTGCTTTTTTTGTTCAGGGTCTCACTACATAGCCCACATTAGTAGTGATCCTCCTGACTTCTGCCTCTTAAGTGCTGGGATTACAGGCGTGTGCCACCACGCCCAGACTTCATCGCAGGCTCAGCACACCCGGAGGTGGGGCCGGCGTGGCAAGCGGAGCCACGGATTGAACACTGGCTCCTGCGCTTAGCTAAGCAAGCGCTTAGTCCGCTGAGCTATACTGCCGGCCCTCAGCCTCATGTTGTCTCATATCTGCATCCTGCATTCCAGCCTGAAGTTATACACTGAAGCCTCTTGGGTCAAAGGCTGCCTGCAGTGCTCCACTCTTGTACCTCTGGCTTCACACCATTATCTATTCAAAGCACCTACTTCTGCCGGTACAGAATTCCGTTCACTCCTCTCAATGTGCTACCGTGCCTGCGCCTGGAATATGTTTTTCCTCCCCTGTCCCTCGACTGAGTCCTCTCCTCTTGGGTTCTCTGCTAAGACAAGCTCTTCCTCCAGGCAGCCTCTGCCCATCCTCCAAGGCGGGTTCACTGTCCTCATGCACTGTCCTCGCTCACTTCACTGTCCTGACTAGATCCCCTTTATCTGCATGTGTGTCAGTACCCCCACCATGATCAATGGCACCAGCCATGCATGTCCTGCTTTTATTCCTCAGAACAGCTAACACAATAAATATTTATTGAACTGAATCACACACTACAAGTGGAACAGAAGTACTTGTTCAAGAACTTGCTTTATCCCCTCTTAGGTTTCAGATAATGAACACACCTCTTGGCCTCTCTGAATCTCAGTCCTCCTGTTAAAGAATAAAAATAGTATTTCCTATCTTCTCCAGAGAAGGAACACATGAGCAATCTAATGTCACAGTACACGTGTTCCCACGCTGGTTCAAGGGCAAGGGGTGGGCCAGGCCTGGTGGTGGCAGTGGCAGAGCACACCTGCAAGCCCAGCCCTTGGGAGGCTCAGGCAGGAGGCTCAGCGTGTGTGTGAGGCCAGCCGGGGCTACATGTGTGCGTTCAATGCCAGTCTGCATTGTGAGACCCTGCCTCAATCCATCTATCTATCTATCTATCTATCTATCTATCTATCTATCTGTCTGTCTGTCTGTCTGTCTAGGGGGAGGGGAGACAGGTAACAGATCAAGGTTTAGGCCAGGTGTACACTGTTTGTTAAAATTATAGACCCTTGATTCAGTCCCCAAGACTCCCTCCAAAAATACAAATACCCAAGCCCTGCCCTCATATGACTGTATTCCATAGGTCTGAAGCTTAAACTAGAAATCTGTAGTATTTTTTAAAGTTCTCCTGGCAACTCTAATATGCAGTACATTGGAAGGTGCACTGTAAATCATACACCAATACAAATATAATTATCACCGCTCAAGCTTAGCAACACCAAACAGTTCTATTTCAAAGCAGTAACTGTCATCGTTTACACGTACTTGGTGACTCCGCATTTTCATCTTCTGGGGTGTCTGATGTGGACAACAGCTACAGGAAAAAACATGTGTGTAAGTTAAAACATCAACTTACCCTGCCCATCCCAATACAAATGTGCCAGTGGGCCTACTTCACTCAGTTATCTCCTAATTGACCTGCTCACCAGTGATGTTTTCAGCTCGTGTGCAGCCGCCGTGAGCTCTGGCAGCTGTTTGTAATCAAAAGCAGTGTTTCACTTACATTCCCAAGTTACTCCCTAGGCCATGAGCTAAGAGAGCTTCCACGGGGGCAGGAAAGGGGCTTTCAGACATCTCCGAGACAATCTGCTTGCCTGTCCTCTGGTTACAGTTCACACTCACCCTTCAGGACAGATCAGACCCTCTATGGAGGCCACTGACCATCGTTAGGAAACTTCTGACCCTCAACCTACTATGTAAGTTTTTACTTGTTTTGCCAAGATTAAAAGAAACAATGGATTTCTCTTTCTTAAATCTTTCAGAGTTTTATGTTTTTGGCATTGGAAATAAAATTCAGAACCTGGTGCTTACTAGACAGGCACTGCGCTGCTGAGCTATATCCCCAGGCCCTCTTTTTTTTTTTTTTTTTTGGTGGAACCAGGCATTGAACTCAGGCCCTTGCACTTGCCAGGCAGGCGCTTATCTACTGAGCTATCTCCCCAGCCTCAGCCCTTCTTTTAAAGAAAAAACTTACATAACAGAACTATTAAATGGTACTATCCTAACTTATTTTCCTCAAATAGTTTAGGTATTATGACTTAATTGGAGAAATGCTTGAAGAAAAAGACAGCAAATATCATTTTTAGAAAATTAGTAATAATCTATTTTTTCCAGAAAAATAGTACTTTCTAGGATCACGTTAAGTTTTGTAAAAAAGGAAAATGTTTTTAAAATGGTATCTGTGTGTTTAAAATAACTTTTTATCCTTCCATTAAAACACTCCTCTGTAATTCACAAAAGATCACTTTTTTGTTGGTAACCAATGATTTCTGTGACAATGCCTTCCCTTCCCCACCTGTTCAAGCAGATGAGGATAAATGGCTTGAACTTGACTGATGAATTCTTGTCCTTTAATCCTTATCAAGTACTCACACCTGAAATGAAAACAAAATAAAGTATGAAGCATTATTTTGTAAAAGCAAAATAAATAGTTAATAATAAATTCCTCACTTGTATTTATCCCATTAGAAATTTGATTAAAGGTCTCAAATCACAGAATCATTTAAGATCACTAAATCTAAACATGAGGTTTGAAGAATAAATCCTACTCCTGTGGTAACTCCTTGCTATTGATCTTTTGAAAAGTGTTTTTTTTTTTTTTTTTTTTTAAAAGAACCTAACCTATAAAATATCTCTTAATATGATTCAAATTGTTGGGATGTGAATTTTTAAACTTTTTCTTTAATGTGCTGCCTGTTACAGTTAACATTTCACTTACTACAAGTATTTTTTTCATGTGGTTTGAATGTTTTAGAGAATTAGTTAATTTTATATTTTTATCTTCAGGCATGTATCATGCTTCAACTAATTTTTGAAAGCCCTAAATGTTTATCTGAATTTGAACAGGGCAAATGTAGTCATTTGTAGACTGTAAATATCTCAAGAGGGCATAAACACGCTTATCACCACTCTGGTCTTTATCAGCCCAAGGGAGTGGAAGGGTACTGCAATGAAGCCTGCAGGATGGGGGCAGGGAGCGCACAAGTGGCATTTTGCCAAGGCTGACACAGTGCATTCTGGGAGCCTTGCAGTGCATGTTGGGAGCTAGTAGGGCTGTCACCACTTTGCTCTCTTCAATTATTCTTGGACTTTTGAAAATACCCTAATATGTGCATTAAAAACAGTGCATAGATACATAAGTTCCCTAAATAAGTGACTCAGCTCATGATAGTCTTAAAAACTGAAGATATAGAGAACAAAGAAAAAATGAGGAAACTGAAGACATTTAATATCATATAATCACAAGTGCTTCAATTTCTATGAAATATACATCCTTTATCAAACTTAAGTGCAGGGGCTGGGGAGATGGCTTAGTAGAATAAGCACTTGCCTACCAAGCACAAGGGCCTGAGTTCAATCCCAGGTTCCACAAAAAAAAAAAAAAAAAAAAAAAAAACTTTAGTGCAAAATGAATTCATGTCATTACCAAAGCAGATTCACTATTCTTTTTGAATATTCTCAAAGCTACCAAAATGGAAAGAAATTTGTAAAAATCCTGCAGGTGGTCCTCATAATCTTTAGTTTTAAAACTTTACAAAAGATAGGGAGCGCCAAGTTGCTATAAATGAAAATACTATATACATACTATATACAAATGTATATAATAAAAATGTTAGAATACTGAATTTGGTGATCAACATTAAAGAATACCAAAAGTTTTGACTATGAAGACTGTGATTATCGGTAGCCTGTTTTAGATGAACTAGGACAGCATTCAAGGGTACAGAATAATCAAAATGGTAAGACACAATAAAATGCTAGCTAGTAAGTGAAACAGATGAGACATATTTATACTCACCCTGACTGCCCCACTCAGTGTCAGAACTTCCTCTGAATTCCTGTAGGCTGCTCTCCTTTTATTCCCTTGGTGGTGAGGTCTGAACCCACCGCAAGTACCCTACCGCTGGGCTACACCCCAGCCCTTTCTTCTTATTCACGGCATTTATTAGCTTCCAAATGCTCTGTAACTTACTAAGTCATTATTAATCATCTGTCCTTTTCTGCTATAAAATGAGCTTATGAGACCAGAGGGTCTTTGCTTTGTTCAACAGGGGACTTGGTATGCACTTAGAACAGTGTGCGGCAATACAAAAGCCCTACTGAAGAAGAATGAATGAATACTGAGTGAAACACGGTGCAGACGGTGCTGAGGGAAAAAGTCCAGAACTATTTATAACATTTAACTGAATTTGATTTCCTACTGCTGTGTAAAACTACATTTCTAGGGGCCGGGGAGATGGCTCAGTGGAATAAGCGCTTCACAGGCAAGCACAAGGGCCTGAGTTCAATCCCTGGTTTCACCAAACACACACACACACACACACACACACACACACACACACACACACACAAACAAACTACATTTCTACAGACGGATATAGTTACAGATACATAGATGCTGGGACAGACAGACACTGGGTATCAGTCACTGGACAATTTCCTTTTCTCTATACTTTTCTATAATGTGTGACTTTACAATGAATATATACAAAAGTATCACCTCTTGGCCTTTCGGCTAAGATCAAGTCTGTTTCTAAGTAACCTGTTCTAAACTCACAAATGTATCTTTGGAACAAAGCCAGAATATTCACAGCTTGTTATCAGGTAAACACAGAAACCCCACAGGATGCTAATAGAAGAGTGTGTGAAGAGAATTTCCAGGTACCTGGGAAACCACTTGGCGTGCTCCACCCATGGGTCGTCTCCCAGCTCCCAACACCTCAGCCCGCCATCACAGCAGAAGCACTTGACATCATCGCTGTGCCCTAAAAGTACATTTCCACCAACGCTTATGAGTGCATACAATTTGTCCACTAAAATACATAAGATAAAACATTCTGGATTTTTTTAAATTAGCAACTTAAGTGTCTTACCCACATAATAGAAGCCTGCACTGGCAAGCTGCTCCGGATGGACTAGCACACTTGAAGGCCAGGTAGAGAACGTCCCAAAGCGGGCAGCATGCGTCTGCATGCTTAGATTAGAAACGGTGAACCTCGAAGTGTTCTGAAGCTGATTCCCTAAGAAAGGGCAGTTGGGAAAATGCCTCCGGTGCTCTGACATAGCATCATCCTTTGGTTCCCAATTGCTCAGCTTTCCGCCACAGGCAAAGCAGGCCACTCGGTCCCCAGGTCCTATGTAATAAAAGCCTGCCTTGGCCAGATCCGTAGGGGACAGGAAAGTCAACGGCCACATTTGGTAAGTGAGCAATCTGGCTTTTTCAGTACTCATTGTACAATGATAGGGACTTGTCCTCAAGGCAGAAAAGTCTTGATTTGCTCTGAAGTTTACAGGACTTGATGGAAAACTTGAGTAAGAGCCACTGAAATACCCACTGTTTTCCAAACTTGGAAGTGATGAATGCGTGGGATTTGTTACTGAAGAAGAAACAGAAGGCTGAGAGGTAGCTTCCAAAGTGTTAACTGAGGTTAAATTCTGCACAAAGCTGCAACTGGGGTACAACTTCTTATGCTTTTCCATCGGACTGTCTCCCCGTTTCCAGTTATCCAGCATCAGCCCACAAGAGAAGCACTTGACTCGGTCATTCACACCAGTGTAATAGAAGCCAGCGCGAGCGAGACTCCTTTCCGAGACAGGTACGCCGCTGGGAAAAGCCGAGTACGTGGACATCCGGTAGAGCTCACAGGAAAGGTCGTACTTCAGTTCAAACATATTGGCACTTTTCATCAAATTTGATAAGAAGATGCTATTTTCTACTATATTCATAGTAAAATGGATGGGGAGGAAAAGGGACCAGTCTTTCTCTGGGGAGGTAGTTTTGTGCATGGCTTTTGATTTAATCAGTTTGACTATTGGGCTGAATATCAAAAATTTCTTCCGTGCACTTAGGGTTTCAGCTTGGTGAGGGCCTAAATCCCATAGGGTTACATCATGTGCATCAGGTCGTGGAGCCCTTTCTGAAGGGGTGGCAGCTGTTCCAGGTCCCTGGGAGGCACTGCCCCATTCCCTCAACCTGCAGATGAGGTATCTGACTCACAAGGCCAGCATCTTTTCCTGACGAAAAGCTGTGCCCCACCATGTTCTAGCAATGACCCACCAACAGGTGCTGGTGCTTTCTCTACCAGGACTGGCCACCATGGTGCCGAGTTCAACACTTGGTTTCCAAGTAGCAGGAGAAACATCACAGCTTGCCATCAATAATTACTTCCCTCGCAGTAGGTTATTGTGCCTAACTTTATCATTCTCCTCAATGGTAAAAACTTTTGTGGACTGTTACACAGTTTTTCTTTATGGAAATTTTATTTTTGAGTAAGTTTGTTCCTTTCCCAAAATTTAACCATTGAATCATCAATTCTCAGCCTCCTGATCAAGAGGTAACAGACTATTTGAACAAAATAAAATTTGAACTTTCAAAATATCAGTAGGCTTTTACACAGTGGATACTTTCTTCACTAATTGTTACTTTTATCTTTTTTACTTGTTCTAAATTTGTATTATATAAAGTTTTGGTCTTGACATTATTTGTCATTGCAGAAATCCCTTAATAGATCAAAGGCTTCATTTGACTATTTCTCTTAATTCTGCAGAAGACTATCTCTTTGTTCTAGATAACTGTCACTCATTTTAAAATCTTTACCAAAATATAGGTACTTTATCTTTTAGCTCTACAGAGAAACCCATGGGAGACTGATGAGCCAGCTGTGAGAGACGGGCTTTAACAACATGCCTCCAGAATAAGCACTTTACTTTCACAAATCAAGTTTAAAATCAAAATCATTACAGTAACATCTCATATAATTACATTCTTTGGACAGTATATCCAAAAGTCTAATTAATTATTAATTTGTTTTTTCATGCACAAAACTACCTCCCAAGATTAGACTGTCCCTTTTTAGGATTTTAGGCCTCCATTTTGAGATATTTGATGTATAGAAAAAACTAGAAAAAAGCTAAAAGTAGAATCGTGTCCTTTGTAAACCTGTTAAAAATAGAAAGAACTTTAAAAATTGAGTAATTCACACAGGCAACCTGACCACCTTTTTCTTAAAACACTTTCCGGAGGCAGTGTGCATGCACCCATCTTCCCCTTCTCAGTCGACCTGCAGGGCGGGCCACAGGAAGCATCGCCAGCCAACACCCCCTCAGGGCAGCACTAGGCTCAGCTGCTTTCAGCGGGCAGGAGAGGAACCAGGGCGGGCTGTAATGAGATCTTACTTATCTAGTCCTGCCACACTTCTGGGGATCTTTGCAGTCACCACCCTGAAGCTTCAGCTCCAAGTTAGCATCAATTTTATTACCTTTAAGAATCACAGAATAAAACTCAACAGAGTATTTCTCACTTAGTAGTGGTGACTAATTTGCTTTCATGCTTGTGTAATTAAACTAAACACCAAAAAAGAAAACCTATTGTCTCCAAAATTAAGTGTTGATTAACTGTCTACTACATCCAAGATGCTGTGCTAGCTGTGATACTAAACAGTATAGCCTACTCTTTGCTGAGGGGAGGGGAGGGGAGGGGAGGGGAGAGAACTTTTTGTTGTTTTTTGAGACAGGGTCAAGTTATCTGGTCCAGCTGGCTTTGACCTTACTATGCAAGCCCAGTCTGGCCACAAACTCATGGTGATCCTCCTGACTCAGCCTCCTGAGCACTGGGATTACAGTTGCAAACCACTATCCCCTGCGGTCACAATGTTTTTAGATTTTTTTTCTTTTGAAACAGGGTCTTGCTACATGTACCTGAAATTAGATTTGGACTTGCTATGTAACTCAAACTACCTTCAAATTACCAATCCTTGTGCTTCAGCACCACACCCAGCTCTGTTTGTTTTGTTTTCCAGGACAGATTCTCACTGTACCACCCAGGATTTAAGATGGTCCTGCATCTGCCTCCAGAATGTTAGCCATGTACTACCACCTTTGATTGTTTTTAAAGCTTACAGTTAACTGCCAGCATTTTGTAAATGTAAGAAACTTCCCATAGCTCTGTAGATTTTACACTTGCAAAGAGAGCAGCTGGCAGCAATTGGGTACATCTCCGCACCACTGTGCCCTCTAGGCAGGGCATGGGCACTGCGCCTGGGCTCCCACATGGGGCCTGCTGCTTGGTCACTGAGCCGGCTCTATGGTTTCTGTGTCAGTACAATCAGCAGGCGCATAAAATCACTGTAGTAACTACACCTAGCAAAAGTAACAGAAATGAAAGACAAAGAGGAACACCCATTTTTGTAGAACATAAATGAAGCCTACTTCTTGGTGGGAAGGAAGAGTGTTCTCCCACATCAAGTGTGCCAACAGAGCTTGCTTCTGTTCACAGAAGCACTGGGTTCTCGCTCCCAGCACCTGCCTGGCCTTGAGTGCATTCGAGTTTGCAAACCCCCTCACGCCCCTCTTAGTCTAAAGGAGTCTAGAAACAAGGCACGTATGTGAGGAGCTATAGACAAGAGTCACACAGTAAACATACAAAAACCTTGGCTCATTCAGCCTCCGTCTTAGCATCTCCTGCCACCTCCTCCCAGGGTGCCACTGGAGAAGACCCTGCTTCAGGCCCCTAGTCTCCAGCCGGCCGACGACGCCACCTTACCCTGGGCAGCCCGTGCAGCCCTTCTATTGCCTTCCCTATCTCCGCTGCATTGCATTTCATTCTCGAGGCTTCGCTTTAGCATTCCTGGAGTCACCCCCTCTCCACTCACAACTTCCTTGAGCTCTTCTCTGGGAACCTATGTCCTATGACCTCAGAAGTCTTGCTCTTGCGTTTTCTATCTCACCTCATGTCCTCAACTCTCATCCTCTCCTGGCCCTTCTCCTTCCACACAACAATCACGTGCAAGTCTACTTCAGCTTTCAAATGAAAGCAAGCAAACAAATACCCTTTTTCCTTTTTTTGGCACTGGAAATTGAACTCAGGACCTCACACTTATGAGGCAGGTGCTTAAGCCACTGAGCTATATATATACATACACATATATATATCCCCAGCCAAATACTTTCTTTCAATCCTGTTTTCCACTCCAGCAACTGCCTTGCAGCAAACAAAATGAACTTGTGTCTAAGTGAACGTCTCCACGTCCCCACCTGTCATTTACTCCTTAAACCAGTGAAGTTTAAAAACTCTCAGCCCTCTACCGCGGTGCACACCGTTAATTATGGCGCTCCGGGGGCTGAGCCAGGATTCCAAATTTTAGGTCAGCCTGGCTTACACGATTCAGGGCCAGCCTGGACTACACACTGAGAGGCCCTGTCTGAAGACCCTAAAATTAAACTGGCAGTAAAAACAAACATTAAACGGAGAGCAGAGCACATGCCTGTAACCCCAGTGTGGTAGGAGGCTGAGGATGGAGGAGCTCAAGTTTGAGCCCAGTCTAGGCAATTCAGCAATATAGAGACTGTCTCAAAATTTAAAGTTTTTCTTTTTTTCTTTAGAGGTGTGTGGATGTAGCTCAGGGCGAAGAACGTGGGTAAAATCTCCAGTACAGCAAAAACAAAAATGAAAACTCTGACAAAACGAGTGAAAAAAATTGAAACTGACTGGGGCAGACTTCCTCTTAGAAACGCTCCAGTCCCTGGCTGGCTTGGAATCCCTCTTTCCTTTCTTGCAGTTCCTTCTCAGAAGAGCTCAGATGTGCAGTCTCCTCCCCTTACGCCACCATTTCTGGAGGGCAACTTCCTGGGTCCCCCAGCAGCTGGGTGTCCCCACCCGCCAACCGGTTTCCTTTCTGCGCGCGCCCGCCCGCTCTGGGCATCGAACTCTGAACCCTGCCTCGCAACCCGGGCGGCTCCGCCTCCTCGCTGGGCCGTGGCAATACCGTGCCACCTGCTCCAGCCGGTCAAAACTTAGAAAACCCACGTGAGGTCTTCGGAGGGCGGCCTAGCAGAAGCAGGACGCCACAGCGGGAGTCACCAACGACACACGTCCAGCGCGCCCGTTCCTTCAGCACGCGGCAGGCGCCTCCGGCCACCCGCCGGCTCCAGGAGGCGACCGCGCGCACCCTGCCCGCCCCG